TTCCGGTTACGGATGGTCTTCCAGCTTCTTGAAATCCGCTTTAAGTTTTAACAATTACAGTTACCAAGTGTAACAGTGATCCATCTGACAGAAATGTGTAAATTTTCAAAATTAAAAACAATTTCAGTCCAAAAAGATATTCTATTTCAAATTCGATATAGTCCTGCTAGATACACCAACTGGACGATAAATATGTCCGGCGTATATGCGAAAAAAAAACAATAATAACCGCCTAAGTTCTATTATACAGATCAGTTGGTTCATGTTATTATAGTTATAATGGAAGAATTAGATATTTAGTTTATCTCTGAGAATAAGTTTATTGAGTTTAATATATTTTTTTCCATAGCAACTGTCAAAATTGCCTTATATCTATCAAAAATAGTAGATAAAATAGTACCTTAACCGCAAGGGTAGATTAAATGATATTTTAACAGTGAGGATAGGTTAAAAACTTTATTCTGCAATCCTGTATTAAAAATATTCAAATTAGGTACAAAGAATCATGATTAGTATTTGTATTGATGAAAGCTATGAGCTTCCTATATCTACAAATTTTAGATGTTACTATACTACTACGGCAATTTAAACGGCATAGCTTATCCTTAACCTTGAAATATCAATGTTTTCATTGCTCAGTATTGTACTTTTTAGCATTGAATAGTACGACCATAAACCGGACGGCTGCATTTTCTTTGATTTTTCAGAAAAATATGCCATATTCCATTTTTGGATAATTTAGGATTCCATTATAAAATTTTTGTATTCCTTTTCATAAGTCATTCAGGATTTAAATGGAAGTAGTTTGGATATGGCGTTTGTCGCCTCAGCCTGAATATCTGTTGGTAATTTACTTATTTCGTTTTGAGCCATTTCTGGCTCCAATTCAATCAGCAATCGACACGAAAGAGACTTAAAAAATATTGACTCAAAACTGACAACTAAAGAGACAGCTTTATTTATTTGTCAAATTACATAGATACCAACGCCAATCCAGCACAATATTTTTTACGTAATAAAATCCTTGAAATAATAATTTCTGAATATTTTTAAAACGTAACTCCCTATGGAAAAATATTGTCTTATACACGACGATAAAATTGCATTATCGTCTCCCAAAATAGTTCACTCGTGAATTAATCTTTTTGGTCGACGATAAAATACCATTTATCGTCTTGTATGAAAATAACTAATAATGCAAACTGTTCAAAAACAAAATAATTTTAAAAACAATAACTCTACGTGTGTGTTTTTTTTCACTTAAATCCAATCACGTCTTCTAATACGACTTCTTCTCTCTCTATTTTCGTCGGCACTTACACAGTCACGTGCCGGCGCCTTTATCGGAATGACAGTCGCGAATATAATTTGACAGCAAATAAGGACACGAATGGAAATGATTGTGAGCGCAGAGGGAAGGAGAGCAAACGATTAGATAATCCCTAGATAGGGCTGCTGTCATGTCGGGCAAAGGGGTGATGGCGAGGAATGTTTCCTACCAAAAATCAAACTGTCAGTCAGCGTGGCAATTACCGTCTTGTTCGTTTTTGTTGCACGTGCGAAAAAGCTTTTTTTAATAAAAGATACCATAACTTTTAATTTGACTATAGTTTTATGTTCCGTTTCTATCGGTTTTCTGAAAGTTTTCTTATTACGAAACACGGTTTCTGAAAAATATCATAATTGTCATCAAACTAACCAGCGCGAAGGCTGGTTTTGCTGATTTTGTTTCTCAATCAATGCCATTTATGTGACAGAATCAAGCAAATATTGGAAGTTCGAGTGAAATTCTCATTTAATTTCTAAAATTTGTAATAATATTTTGTATTTACATCCAAAAGCAATGGAGGTAGGCAGTAAAGGTAAATAAATTTCATTAACTAAATAGAATGACTTTTTAAGACCATTTAAACTTATCATGCAGCCATTGTCTCTTAAAGTCAGGAACATTTAAAGAAAACATGAAAAACAAGACAAGTAATCGTGAATAGTAAGCTAATAAAGCTATAAAAATATTAATATTGAATAGATTTGTTTATTTATTATTGATCTGTTTTAATATTGGACCTGCAAAGCTTCACTTGAGGTGTCTAACGAGTTTAAAAGTTTATTAATAAAGTACTTTTCAATATTAAACTCCATTGAATAGACGAAGCAAACGTAAAAGCAGAGAATGGGTACATTAAAAATGCATAAAAGATAAATTTTACAATAGAGGTATTAAAATTTAGAAAACGTCAACGTTTGACGTTTCCAGTATTTTACCAAACCGTTCCGTATCAAACCGATGTTTTTCAGGAACCGCTCTTTACCGTAGTTTAGCGGTCTGGTTCGCCTGGTTTTGCAACGGAATACAGCCTATGACTAGGTCAGCTCTGAAAAACTGTTTAATAAATAGACGTTTATTGCTAAACTATACATAGCTCATTCATGATGGAATAAAGCTATTCAAAAATTCTGATTACAAAATGGATTAGAATCCTAAGATTTCGATCTAAAAGACTCAATTAGCTGGATCATTGACCAAATTGCTTTACACCTATTGCATACATGACGAATCCCAGTCTCTTCATCACCGCTAAAACGAGATCGCAGCGGCAGATCCGCGCCACAAACGCCAAATGTATGCAAACGGCGTTAGAAGGAAAGTGGGCATGTAATTGGGCCCCGCGCGCCGTCTCTATTGATTGGGGCCCCAGCGGCGACGGCGGGAGCCCCAATCGAGTTAGACAGAGGTCCCGGGGCCCAACGCCAGCAGCGCCTCTTCCGTTTCACTCGTTCCGAATGCGGACGATAAAAAATGATTTTCGGGAATGGGGAGCGGTTTTTTGTCCTTCGAAAGAATAGGGAAAAGGGGATAATCGGTGATTAAATAGCGGCTATGAAAATGTGGTGCAATATTAAATGACTTATGCGAGTATATCTATTATCTCCTTTGTAAACCTGTAAACCAGAATATCTTAGAGTAGGGATAAACCAGGATTTCAGAGCATAAAACCATAGTATAAGGAAAGTAGTAGCTGTACTCCTTGTCAAATCCTTTTGTTCTTTTTCTCTGACACTTTATATGACCTTGTTCTCGTCCCGTGACCACTGACGTAGCTGTATAGTCGTAGTCTATAACTAAACAAAGTGTAGTCGTGGCACTCGCCATAAGTTTTCCACTGAGATAAATTTAGGAAAATATGAGTTCACAATAAAATAAAATAAAAAATGATCATCAGTAAAAATTAGCTTGAAAACAGAATATTTTCACTTTTCGTGTAAATAACAATAATTCTTCTGTATCTGAAAATCTTTTTGATGGGAAAAAAATATTTTCTACAACTTTTTTTTGTAATTTAAAACACGTTTAATTTTAACATTAATGTGTTTGGTTTGTAGTAATATATTGGTTAGGTGATTTTCATTGGATAACTAATACATTGAACAACACATTGTACTAAATAATAAAATAACATATTTAAACTTCAATAATTGCTAATAAACATTACAGAAATTTCAAAGAGAAAAGAAGAAAACAATGAGAAATAGCATCACTACTTTCTCACGTAATAAAAGAATATTTTTGCTTATTCTTACCGAGTCCCGAAAGGTACCGAAAAGAACCCGGAATTAATAATTTCGAGTCCCGGTTCTTTGATTGTCCCTACTTACCATATTATCAAAGAAATTATGTTTTTTAACTAAAAAGTAAAACATTTCCAGATTTTTTTTCAAAAAAAGTTGCGCAGAAAAATCCTCATATTTCTGGGGCCAAAATATACTACCTTTAAAAAATATTTTGCACTTATTTTAAGACTCACCCTGTGGATAGGGCGATTCACGGTTATGGTACGTTAAGCGTTCCGGAAACCGGGCTGTTTTTCGGAACCGGCAATTTCGGTACCATGCCTCTAAGGAACAGGGTTTTCCAGTTTTCGGTACTTTCGGTACTAGCAAATTTTTGTTCAATGATGGTGCAGTTCGTTAAAACAGCAAGCAAGGGATGGTTGTCAAAAGTAAAATCGATAAAAATTGAGGTTTAAGTAAGAAAATAATATCAAATTTTTAAGTAGTAATCCTGAGAAGTCGAGTAAAAAGAGAGTAATAATCCTCCTAAGAAAATTAACCTGAACACAAACATGATCACAAATGACTCTCGAAAAAATCAAAGCACAATTTTTTTGAATTATTACTACAACCAATAGCAGCACACAGTAAGACACTCTTTTTTCAAATCCCGTATCTGTGTTGGGACGCAACGCTCGAACCTCGCAGGTCGACGGACGGAACTCAACTGAAACGCTCTGCGCAATCTGCCGATATTCGACAGATTGTAAGAACTGGCAGAAAATATTTGGGAGAGTGCATCTACTCTTTTTCCTTCTACTATGATAAAAACAATGTAAGCAATACCAATATTTGAGAAAAGTAATATTGAGCGAGGACACTTCTGAAACATAGATGATAGGTACAGGATACGGCATGTTTAGCGTTTTATAAGAGCTCTCAACTCTCGGATTTGATCCAAACAATTAATGTTGCCAACTAAGTTAACTATCTTCACTACAGTAATCCTAGCCTATATTGACATGCGTGGTATGTTGACAATTGACTTTTGACTGATTAATCAAATACAGAACAGCCACATCTAAAATGAATATTCCTCGATGAGCATGTAGAATATGTCCGATGGATAGGATCTGAAATTATGAAATTATATGATGTAAAAAAATAAATATCTTATGAATCCGAACCACCATGTATATCTATCGGATTTAAACGTTCTTCAACGCCTTCCGATGCCCAGTCACCATTGCTCCCTATCTAGCCAGAGGTCGTCTTCGAGCTCTCGTTCTTTAGCTCCTTGTCTATCCTTCTCTCCAGCTCTTGCGTGGTCTACCCCATTTTCGTCGTTCCGCTGGTTTGGTTTGGTTTGGCCTCTTTTTCATTTTAACCTCTTCTCTGACATTCTTTCTACGTGGCCATACCATATTAGTTGTGTCGTTCTTATGTCATCAGCTATTGTTCGATTGACCCCCATAATTTCTTGTTATTCTGTTGTTTCTGTATCTTTCTCTTCTGGATTTACCTGCGGCCCGTCTCCAGAAATCCATTTCTGTCGCTTCCAGGGAGCGCACGGTCTTATCTTTTAGCTGCCATACCTCGCTGCCATAGCAAACGATGCTTTTAACTATTGTGCTGTATATATGACGTTTGTTGGATTTAGAGATGTTACTATCCCACAAGACGCCGTTTAACATAGAGATTGCCTTTCTTCCCTGAGCGTTTCTGTCCCTAATGGCTTTATCCAGAGTGCCATCCCTTGAAATTTTGGCTCCCAAGTATTTATAATTTATGCAGCCATTAATACTTTGACCGTTTTTTAAGGGGAGGTTTTTCTTGGAATCCGCCGACGCACATATATCCGTCTTATCTAAATTTACTTCAATCTCCATTATTTGCTATATTCTTCTATATTTTTTATATAATATATACTTATTATTCTTATAATTAATGATAGTATAACCTAATACATACAATAATTTTAAAATGCTTTTACCATCTTTCTTATTTCATCGCTCTGTTATTTCTTCTTCAAATTGCCATCTAGTTACAAAATCTTTCGACTGACGGCGTGCTTGGTCTTAAATTAAGATGCGGCCTCTGAATGTTTGTTTTTTCTTTAGCGCGCGCTTTTTGATGGGGTCGTTATCACCAATTATCGGTGTTTGGCTGTTTAGTTAGATAGGTCCTTTGTTGAAATAGGTGCCTTTTTTATCCTAAGGTACTTTTTTGACATAGCACCATTAGGTGTGAGAGGTCATTTAGTAAAATATTTTTTTTATTCTACAGAGACAGGTATAATCGAGGGTATAATTTACTATACAGTATATTATTATAGGAAACCGGTTTAAATAGCGAATATACGAAAAAAATTATTATATAATTAAAAAAGTGTTAGGAAATATAATTTGCGAAAATTCTAAAAATAAAAACAAAAAGTAAATATTTTGATATCTTCAGAAGGTCTAACTTGTATTATAATTTATTATTCCAGCTAAAAAAACTACTAACTACGGTAGCGAGTATAGTTTTAATCACCGGTTTTGCTATTGGTGCTATTTGATTGAGGCTCTTTCGTCTATAACAAAATTTAAAGGTACATAATTATAATTTTAGAAGATATTCATAAAACATTTAATCACTAGTCTATTAAAAAAGTGTATCATTAATATTGCAAATTAAATTTTATGCTCTTATAGTATATTATGTCTATTTAATTTTTTGATTATATAACGAGCACTTTGTTTCGTCGAACTGATTGAATCCATTTTTGCTTTTGATAAAATCGGTGTGAGGAACTATGAAGCTATAAAATGTTGTTTTGGGGGAGATGAATATCCGGGAGAGTTGAGTTATTGAATATTATTGCACCCAACAACGCACGCACTAATTACACTCCTTTACGCGTTAAATTTTGTTGTTAATTTTATTAACATTTGAAGGTAATCACAACACAACACGACGCCTAGTTTGGGTTCTCTTTCACTTATTTTTACTACCCGAAACAGTGTTACATCACACCTCGTACCTGAGTGTTTTATAGTCTCAATAACTACACAAGCAAAAACCTAAAATACTTAAATATTATGACAAAGCCACGATTTCAATACTATTTTAATGTGATAAATATGAACTGTAACCAGGAGGGCGCGCCGCGCCGCCCGGCATAGCGCCAGCGACGTGAAATACATTCTGATAATTTCTGATTTCTGTCGTTGAAGCGTTGAGGTCGGAATTTGTTGAAATCAGCTGAAATGCACCAAGCGTATGTTTTTTTCCAATGTTTTCTCGAATGTAGCTGTATAATATGTTCCTCTTCAATATTTGTCAGATGTTGGCATAATATAAGCTTTGTTCGGGTTCTTGTTTATTACCGATTCTGAATCTTCCTAGAACTGTGACAGCGTATGCGCAGAAGGAAAATATGAAGACATTATTTCATTTGCGCATGCGCTGCAGAATTTTAGGACAGTTCAGAATCGGTAATAACAAGAACCCGAACAACTTATACATATGTCATCAGATTTTCATAAGTATAAAAGATCTATTTATAGCCGAACAGCAATATTTGAGACATTGTAATAAAAAAACATTACACAAGGTGATTGCCATTCCATTCCTTGAGATGGCGGCTCAAGTTTTGTGTAAACACAGTTTATAAACACGATAAATTTCACAATATAGAAATATAAAATTGAAATAAATTAAAATACATAATAAAATATAGAGGAAACAAAATATCGAAACATGTTTGGATATACTAAATCTATAGTAAATTATGAAAGCGAAAATGTGGAGAATTTATTACTGAATCGCTCGTAACCATGAATAATCATTTTAAATCAATATCTACCGCATCTAATGCCGTAGCAAGAGCAGGAATGAAAGAAGGAGAAAGGCAAAGAAGAAAATTATTACGGAGTCTAGATAACTCCGCAAAAAGTTCGGTGTATTATCCAAATATCCGGAGCTTAGAGAGGCTGGTTTAAAATATTTTTCTGTTCGAAAAATGGAAGAGCATTTTACAAATTAAGTGATTTAGTGAAGACTGTGTTGCGCAATTTGTTTGATAATGTATGGGCCGCTGTACTTTGATACGCACTTGAATTCAACCCGAAACAATATGGAGCAAGACGAACTAGGTACATATTGCAATAGATTGCGAATTGGGATAGGGTTGGAAAGGTCAGGCGACGTTGCCAACTTCACTACGCCCAGGGTCGAGGCAATAAAACACACAATTGCCGGCCGGACGACGACACAGAGACATTGTTCGGACCGGGTCGTCCGCTCTCGCATCGGCAAATGCGCCCTCGACAATGCAAATTGTGCCGCTTATTTATGCATGTACGTAGCCATTATGTTCTATGTAAGAAGGTTAATTGGTCCGGGCCGGGCAATTATCCGTCAGCGCTGCAGGTCGACGTCGGCGACGACGCCAGAGCGGCACAATGGCGGGTGGTGCAGGCAGAAAGGGTTCCAGCGCGGCGCGGCGGGTAAACACACACGGCTCTATTTTAATATGCGCGCATAATAAATCCCTCGACTCCGCACTAATTGGATGGATGTTTGACAGTAAATGTTTGCCATCTTTCGCTATCTCGGCAACAGCTCCTCCCGCTTATCTGGCCGACGCAGCTGTTTTCGGACAGTTAATTAAATGTCGAGGTTAAGTCGAAACCGATGATTCCTAGACGCGAATAATTAATGATTTCGGGTAGTTAGCTGCCTTGTCGCGGCTCAATTTAATTAAAACTTATGTAATATTGATAAATAATTAGGATTTCGGGAAGTTATTTTCAAGCTTCATTCAGAACCTCGCAATTAGTGGAATAAATTAGTGGTTTCAATTAGCGTAAAAGTTTGTTCCTTTAATTTCAATGTAAGCATTCAGAACGTCAAAATTAGTGGTAGAAATTTTTAATTAGCAGAAAAAGTTATCAATCTTTTAACTTTTCCGCTAATTATACTTCAAAATTTTCGAGAAATGTTATTTTGGTCTTTGATTATCACCCGTCAAGAAAAATTTTGGTTAGAAATCAAAAGTTTATTGTTTTATAAGCTAAATATTGTGCTTTCTTTGTGGATACAAGGGACTACCGCAAGCTGTTGCTAGGATATTTTATTAATTTTAATTGTGGTTTTTAGACATTGTGAATGATCGTAAACTAAAAAGTATAAAGTGTAAATGAAACAACTAATTTATTCTACCAATTTCGATGTTCTGAATGAAGCTTTATGTTGCGTTTATTAATTAAATATCTGAAAGCAGAAAGTTATGCATTGCTCGAGTCTCCTTCTGTTGGCTTAATAATTTCCGACGTTGTCTTTTACTCTTTACGTTTAAGATAGCGTTTTAGCCAGAAAGATCCCAATCCAAGCCATTGAGTAGATAGTTATGCCAATCTATGAAATCCATTCAAATATATATTCATAAATTTGTGTTTACTATCAATCTTCTTCCGATATCTGCCCTTTCTGAACCTGTTAACTGTGGAATGTGATAATTTGCATCTCTCAAAATGTTTCCGATATAATGAGAAACTTTTATTTCTCTATGATAAAAATAATTATCTTATTTTTTTCTCTTCCCAATTCGTCTTCCCAGCGTCTTCGAATTATGATTCTTTTAATTGCTGGAATTGTATCGAGTCGGAAGTCAGTAATAGTATGGGTGGTAAATGTCTAAACCTTGACGCACTCGCAATTCTATTTCAACACTTCAATATTGCTTTTTACTTTCCACAGTTACTAAAATTAAATGATGGATGTTTTGGCAGTAAATTTTTGCCATCTTTTCGCTATCTCGACACAGCTCCTCCCCTTATCTGCCCGACGCAACTGTTTTCGGACAGTTAATTAAATGTCGAGTTAAGTCAAGGAAACCTATGATTCCTAAAAGCGAATAATTAATGATTTCGGGTTGTTAGCTGCTCAATTTAATTAAAACTTTATGTAATATAGATAAGTAATTGGGATCCCAGGAAGTTATATTTTCTAGTTGCGTTTATTAATTAAAGATATGAAGGCAGAAGGTATGCATTGCTTCTTCTTCTTCTTCTGTTGGCCTAATAATTTCGGACGTTGTCTTTTACTCGTTACTTCTAAGATAGCGTTTGTGATCAGCCAGAAAGATGCCAATCCAAACCACTGAGTAGCTAGTTATGCCAATCCATGGAATACATTCAAATATATTCATAAATTTGTGTTTACTATTAATCTTCTTCTGATATCTACCCGTTCTGAAGCAATAAACTGCGAAATGTGATAATTTGCATCTCTCAAAATGTTTCCGAGATATTGAGAAACTTTTATTTCTTTACGATAAAAATAACCATCTTATTTGTTTCTCTTCCCAATTCCGCTTTAAGAACATGCTCAATATACGTGTTGAGGGACCAGGGCCCCTATGCTTGACGCTAAGAGAATGCTCCCTATACAGAAGGCTCTCTTAAAAAAGTGACGTCTTGCGCAAGTTATTCTCATGAATTATGACAATTCGACATTCTTGAAAGTAAGAGAATGCTCACATCGTTCTCTCGAGGAGTATTCTACTCGGTAAAACCGAGAGAATCGAGAAATGTGAGAGAATGACTTGCGCGTTACTATGCGGACATATTACATAACCTCTAAAAACAACCCGATATTTTTCGACAAATAATATTGTAAAAGGTTTAATCTAAAATTATAAAGATTGGCGCGAAACTGAAGCATAAAATTCAACTGGTGGTGAAATGGAAGACGAAAAAGAAATTATTGTTTTCCCTAAACTTTGAGCTGTTTATACGTGAACTTGAAAGTAAATTTACCACTTCGTAATTCCTCATGCTCGTGCATGAAGTTCGCTAATAATTGTTTTTGAATATCACACAATAAAATGCATTAAAAACTC